TTGGATTTTAATTTGATTTTATATTGGGTGTTCACAAAAATTTTAAATGAAACGGCAAAATTAATATTTCTTTTAATTGTATTTTAAAATGGTGTTTGTAAGGTCTTTATCTGTTTTTAGCTTGCTGTAAGCCGCCCTGGGTCCGCCAGGAGAAGGGCGGGGTATAAATCTAATAAAATCTAAATCTAAATCTAAATCTGCAAAAGCAGAATGAAAAGCTGCACAAATTGAGATGATGTAAGAGAAAGCTTGAGATTCTTGATATTGAAACTATTTATGGACCAAAAAGCATAGGGGGTTTGTTACAAATTAAATTTGGATTTTGGTGAGGGAAATGTTTTAGCACCCACAACAGTCAATTTGCATCTTGGAATAAATCACAAAAGATAGCTAAAACAAAACAAACGTAAAGAAATGATAGATTAAAGCAAGAAAAAGAAATGTGGACAAAAGGAACTGACTGGTTAGATGGTGAGCCCAATCTCACCCTGCATCCAGTCCCTCTTTCTGGACCTTTAAATTATCCAGATTAGATATATATTCAACAAAACAAAACAAAATTGAATTGGAACACATAGGAAATAAATTCTGCACATGAAACGTTGAATAGCTTGCATTACTGAAAATGTGATAGAAAAATCCAAGCCCTGGATTGGTCTTAAATGAAGATGAAAAATGTTGAACATTGTTTAAAGCCTTCTGAGCAAAACTGATTCAGATGATACATTTCATCAAGCTCAATTCAGCATGTCTTTCTACTTCTTCATATTACATTAGAATTAGAAAATCTCAGGTTATAATGGTGTCTCTTGAGAAGGAAAACAAATTAGACCAGCAGATGATAAAACTGGACCAGTTTGGAGCAGTTGAGTCATTAAGGACCTTGAAGTATGTTAAAACATAACATCCGGAGATTGCCTTTTTTAAAGCAACAGATTAGTTGAACAATTTATTTCCCTTTAAAGACTTTAATTTCACTATTTATGTTTTTTTAAGGATAGTCAAAATAATGTCTTCTTTTCAACTTGGACAGATTAACGTTTTGAGGAAAAAAGATTCCAAAGTTGAGTTAATGACTCAATATTGCATACTGTCAAGCATAAATAGGCTATGTTGTAGGTATGTTGTGCACATCAGTCTTTGCCAAAAGTCACCACTAGATGACCATGGATCTGATTATCTGCACTATGTAGACTGATGTGATGGAGTGATCCAGGATTTTCATCTGCACAGCCTCTATAAGACTAAATCCACAACAGTTAGAATGTTTCTGAATCTAGCAAAAATAAGCAGACTGTTCTTTTCTCAAAAATTACATTTTTTTCATAATGCATTTTACCTCTTGGCCCATTTCCATACTGCAAAGTTTTGTTGATTGAGCTTTGGCATCAACCATAACATTAAACATGGTGCATATTGACTGAGGAACTCGGAAATCTGTTGATCGGCTTGTTTTCTGTAGCTTTACTTCAAATGCAATCCGGGTTCTATGAAGCATGATTAAAAAAAAAGGAAGATGTTTGGCTATGGTATAAATATACTGCATTAAATAATCCTTGTGATCAATGCAACACAATCTGAAGGCTTCAGAGCAAAGGACACTGCAGGCTGATGTGAAGGTCAGAAGAAAAAAGAGATGTTGGTCTGGCCAAGACTGTCCACAGGGTGTGATTAAAAAAAAGTTAAGATGGCAGCCATGGTGGTGTGGCCAAACTTTCACCTATTTTCACTCATTAAAAAGGTGGAGCTTCAATTGAATCATAGACTTTTTGGACCACAGTTTGAGAAATGCATTGATATGGTGGAACGATAAGTGTCCTGAGTGTCCTTCATAATGTTTCTTAAACAGAAGTTTATTTATTTATTGATTACATTTATATGCCACCAATCTTACTGATAAAGTGACTCTGGGCTACTTGTGAAATAGCAAAAAGGTAAATATAAAACCAGTTAACATTAATAAGATTTAAATAAGAACTAAAAACAAGGAGATGGATGGCACGAGGGTGAGATCTTTTCTCCTATCCTGTCAACCACCTCCAGCCAGCAAAACCATATTTTTAAGGCCTTTCTGGAGCACCAGAAGAGTGGGGGCAGATCTCACCTCCAGTGGCAGAATGTTCTAATGGGGTGGAGGTGGGTGGGGAGAATGTGGAAAAGGCTCTTCTTGACTTCATCAGCCAAAATTCATCAATGGACACAGTTAGCACTGGAGCGAGTGAGGCAGGCCAGTGCCATTGGGGCAAGATGGCTCCTCAAATAACAGCCAACACCTTGTGTTTGGTGGTATCAAGGAAATTGATAAGAGGGACATTTTACTTGGCTTCTATCTGTTTTGAAATCAATTTGGTGAACAATTTTTGTCACTTTTTTAGTCATACTCCTCAGACTGTTTCTATTTCTATAACAAAAGACAAGAAAATCAGTAAGTACCTTCCCATATTAATTGAACAGTGTGATGATGTTATCACAGCAAGCGATAAAAAATGCGTTCCTATAATATGGTTGGTATTACCTAATCTGTAGCTGAAATATAGCAGGGACCACAAAAGAAAACTCACAGAATGAAAGGAAGCTGAGGAATGCTCTGTTTTAAGCACAACTTAAACAAGTCTATTAATTGGTTGACTGCACAGTGACTTTATATTTAATATTTTTTCACAATGTTTCCTTGCCTGTTCTCTTCATAATTGTCACATAAGCAATTGTAAAACAGATTTTTTTGTGCACAGACACACCAGCTCCATGGCAAAACATAAAAATGATGCAGAGCTCCATCAACCCTAATAAAGCTGCTCAGTTTAAATTTCATTTTCAAACATGACAAAATCATACGGCGAAGACAGAGTTTGTATAATTAGGAGCTCCCTGTTTATACTTTGGTTCTTCCTTGTAATCCCATCTTCTCTAGCAGTAACCCAAGAGACACAGTGAAGTAAGGTAAACCCAGTCTCTTGCAAGTGGCTTAAGTGCATCAGATAACATGTGATGAAAGGTGAAAATGAGAAAAAGCACTCTTATTTGGGCAGTAAACTCATGTTTTCCATTTCCTGTAGTTCTGTTTGGAAGTAGCGGTAGGATTTGGAAAAGACTGTCTGATAAAGAAGGTAGCCACCATTACTGATCTTTTCACAATAAAATTTATTCTTAATCCCACCTTTATTATTTTTATAAATAATTCAAGGGGATGAATATAATACTCCTTTCTCCTCCTATTTTCCCACAACAACAAGGGAATTGGGAGGAGAGAGAATGACTGGCCCAAGGTCACCCAGCCAGCTTTCATGCCTAAAGTGGGATTAGAACTCACAGCCTCCTGGTTTCTAGCCTAGTGTTTTAACCATTGGACCAAACTAATTTCTGAAAACTCTGTATCCCCCTAATCCAAAATGTAGTAAGAACTGGTATTTAATTCAGAGTTAGGCTTGTTCAAGCCTTAAAAAGATAGCCAAAGAACAATGTGTAAGTTCTAGCTACTAGGATCATTTCCATAAAGCTATTTTCATATTTCAACCCACCTCTTTACACAGGATTCAATCATATCACTAGCCATAAGTTTTAGCCGTTGTTCTAAGTGTTTCCCAAATTCTTCCTCAGGCCAGTGTAGATCCCTGATGAAGGTCTGTAAGGCATCTAGTTTCCAAAACAGATCTTCTGATGTTCCTGATCCATTGCTGCCAGGATAAAATGAAAAATAAGAAACAACCAGGTTATAGCCGGCTCACTGATTTTGGAATCCTGATGTGGAGATTGTTCTTGCACACATGGAACGGAGTGTAACAGTGACCGAAGACACAGAACAATGCCATGGGGAATCTCCATCATCAGGCTTGTAGTGTTTTCTAGTCTACCTATCTCTTACAAGTCTTTCCAGATCAGACGGAGAAGACAAGTCATGTAAGAAATGGACATTCATCTGGAAACACTGCGTATGGGAAAAAGAACTCAGCCTTTTTCAATAACCACATTTCCTTCTGTAGTTGTTGAACTGAAGGCTCTACAAAGTAAAGGGACATCTCTATTTGATAATAACCGCACTACACAATTGCGTGTGGTTATTTTTAAGTTCCATGCATTTTATTTTCACAGATTGCCAGATCTGTTCTCTTTCCTTTTCTCCCCCACTTCCTTTATCGCAAGGGTTTCGAGGGAGAAAAAAATAGTGCTAACAAGTGGTGAGCGAGGACATGATTTTTGAACAGCTGGAAATAAATCAGGGCAAGGCAATTAAATTATTCACAACGAGACATTTTTAAAAACTTAGCTCAGAAAGGGTTGAATTTACTAACCAGTTGACCTATTTTTGTTTTTGAAAAAAAAATATTTTGGAGAAGGAGGGATCAATATACTTCACCAGGTTTCCGTAAGGTTTTTGTTTTGCTCCGTTTTGTTTTCTTATTCAGATTTTTTTCCCATATATTTGGAGCTATCCTGTCTCGCTGCTGATTAGACTTCTGTTCAGCTAAAATTATGCTTAACGCCTCCACTCACAAGGTAAGTTTTACATTATGTTTTACGCTGAGAAATTTATATATCTATTTATTACCCTTCTTCCTTCCTTTTCTTATTTTTTTTCCCATAATGATTATGACCAAGGAAGCTTCAAGACATTATTCCTACTCCTCGCATACCACTAATGCTAACACAGTGATTGATATTTGACACACCATGCATTGTCATGTCACGCTGATATCGTCTATAGAAACAAATGAGGAAGACTGTTTCTATTGTGACCGATGCCAGCTGCATTGAATTAATGCTACAGAAGGGAAGATAAAGCTAAACGCACACGTGGAAACCATATTCCCAACATGCCAAGGGGCTCTTTCAATCCTAGGCCAACAAAGGTAATTATTCAAACAATGCACTGACTTAGTTGTAGAAAACAGACATATCCATATAAGGGGGGGGGGGTGAAAACACTGAAGCGTGTTCCTAAATGGGTAGAAAGGAACTGGAATCAATGAAAAGATAGAGAATCAGGCATTTTCTTGAAGAACTGCCCATCAAAGAAATACTATCGCATACAGGTAGTCCTCAACTTGCGACCAAAATTGAGCCCAAAATTTACGTTGCTAAGCAAGAAATTTTGTTAAGTGAGTTTTGCCCCATTTTACGATTTTTCTTGCCACATTTGTTAAGGGAATCGCTGCAGTTGTTAAATTAGTAACACGGTTGTTAAGGGAATCTGTTTTCCCCATTGGCTTTGCATGTCAGGAGTTGCAAAAAGGGGATCACATAACCCCAGGACACTGCAACCGTCATAAATGTGAGTCAGTTGTCAAGCATCAAAACGTAAATCATGTGACCATGGGGATGCTGCAATGGTCGTCAGTGTGAAAAATGGTCATAAATATTTTTTTCCCCCGGTGCCGTTGTAACTTCGAATGGTTACTAAACTGTTGTAAGTTGAGGACTACCTTCACATAGTAGTCAGAAACTATCATTGGTTCAGGATAGTTTCAGCTGCTTCTGCTTCAGATATACAGTTGAAAATGTTTACCTTTTTTCTTTTTAAAATCCATTCTAATCCTGCTTTTGGAAACAGAGTGTTTTGGAACAGAGCGCTTTTGTTTTAAGCAATTAGGTAGCCAGAATGCAATAACTGTTACTTATTATTATGACGGGATGACACCCCTCTGCTTCTAGAAATTTCAAATAAAAAAGGAACGCTAGGTTGTTTTTGGATTTTCCTTTTCAAGAGCTTTTCAAGAGATTTTTAAAGAACAACGAGAGAAGTCTGATTTCAGACTGGGAAGTTTAGAGGCATATTCACCTGGCTGCTCCATTGCAATGGGTGGGGCTGTGATCTCAAATATCTGTCCTCATGAGTATGTGTCATTTTCAGTGAGACTTACTTTGAGGGAACATGTCTAAGATTAAAGCCTTGATTCTTATCTTTTCAAAAATAAAGTAAAATGGAACAATATCACACAGCATGCACAGAGCAAAGTAGTTTTTTTTTCAATTTACATAGACTGCCTAATCTAATCTAACCTTTCATAAATCAGCTTAACATGAATATGAATTGCAAACATTTTTTTGAACAGCTATTCATTTTATTTGCAATTTAAAATCATTGTGGTTTGGAAAAAAAAAATCTCAAGTTGGAAGTTTAAAAATGGATTCCTGTTCCTGAATGATTGTTAAAAAAGAAGAAGAAGCAATCTTGTTCAAAGTAACATTCTTATTATAATTTGACTTTATTATCATTTATTGCCACATGGGGAAATTTGATTATGATTAGAATATGTTGTAAGTTTTAAAAAAAATATTAACAAAAGATAGAGTGATGGTGATTGACTAGATTGAGTTTGAAAATGTGAGTTGAAAAGATACATTTCCTCTGAGCAATACTAAATGTCCCAGTCGGGACATCATAATCACTTTGTGATTTTTCTGAACCATAGCTTGTTGTTGTACATAATACAAAGACATAAGCTTGGTTTGAAGTCACAGGGTCCACTTCTACATCATCTTAAGTTAAACACTGAATAAACCATGATTTGTTATTCCAGTCATTATTTGCTTGCAAGAAAATACATATGCACGATGGGTGCCTTGTGACTGAAAACAATAATAATAAAATAATAATATACATCTGTTATTAACTTTATTTCTGAACTGGGGGATTCTTATTTCCAGCATTATATTTCTGCTGGTCCTTATAAATGAACAAATACTCTGACACAGATATGCCACCAAAAGCAACTTTAAAATGTGCCAGATACCTCTGTCATGAAATAATGCATGACACGAAGGGATCCAGAAAATGACATTTCATTACCATGCATGTAAAAATAAAACAAATTGTTTACAAAATTGTCATCCTGTATCCCTATTTCCTTTTGTGTGCATTTGTCTGGCGAAAGAAAGAAAGAAAGAAAGAAAGAAAGGAAGGAAGGAAGGAAGGAAGAAAAAAAGAAAGGAAGAAAGAAAGAAAGAAAAAGGAAAGGAAGGAAGACACAAAGAAAGGAAGGAAGACGAAAAGAAAGAAGGAAGCAAGGAAGAAAAGAAAAAAAGAAGGAAGGAAGGAAGGAAGGAAGGAGAAAAAAAGAAAGGAAAGAAAAGAAAAGAAAAGAAAGGAAAGACAGAAAATCTTAGTATTTCCTACTTGGAAGAACAAAGATTTCCTGCAAATGAGGAAATGTATTGTGGCAACATTTAAAAAAAAAACCCAGAACTTTGATATCCAGTATTTGTCCAGAAATAATTGGCTCCATTGTTAAACAAAGCTGATGTTTGTAATCACAGAAATTCAAAACTATTTTAGTAGCAGATGCAGAGATCTCCAAGGAAATGTCCTGAGTAGACTATGTAGAATATGCTGATACAGATGTCAGTAACGTTAGTGGCGTAGTTTGAAAATAATCATTTATATTATAATCTGTAGGGTCCATGGGCAAGTAAACCGTTGTGACATCTTTTCTGGATTCCATCTTTTTTTTAAAAAGTGCATGGAAGAACAGTATTTTAACAATAATAGAGGCAGCAGGACTGGGGAGAGGTGGTTTTAATCTCAGGCTATTTAAAATACAAAAATGTTCTCCATATTGAGATAATCTCTTCCCTTTTACCAAGAGGAACTATAATTTCCACAGCCAGAGATGAGGAGTTACCCTCTTGGGTCAATTTGCTCACCCACAGAATAAAGGTTAGTTAACTATATTACTGGAATCATTAGCACCCCATGGCAATTCAACATAGGCGACACATGTCAAACTCGCGACGTCATGCCACAGATTACCTCCCATCGGCCTGTACGCTCCCACAGGGTGGGTCTCCTCAGGGTGCCGTCGGCCAGACAGTGCCGGCTGGCGACCCCAAGGGGGAGGGCCTTCTCTGTGGGAGCTCCCACCCTCTGGAATGAGCTGCCCCCAGAGATCAGGGTGATCCCTGATCTCCCTTCCTTCCGCCGCGCCCTTAAGACAT